AAAGTAGTGGTTGTGTGTGGAGTATCAGTTGTGTCATTTTACATGGTTGCAATCACTTTCTGGCTGGTGTTTAGTGAAAGCATCAGTAGTGCACTGCCATCATTATAGTAAGTTATGAAAGCCTTTTTACTAGAACACGGCAGGCACATTTATTTATTCCCATGTTCTTGGGCCTCATTTACTCATTTTAAAAATGCCTAAGACTGGACAAGATAGCATGGCCATTTCAATAGCTTTTGCAAACTGGCAGCACCTGGTTTTCAATGCTGAAGAAGGATTTATGAGTTTAAACTATCTGTTAATATTCAAAATACTTCTGTGTCTGACATAGCCAGAAAACCCATGGTGCTTTCTATGCTTAAGGCACACTTACCCCCTTGTAGAACGGAGACAGTAACAGTTATCTCAGAGATCTTGTTTAGATGGATAGGTTGGAATATTACTCAGGTACTACCAAAATAGGGATGGGTAACAGAAACATGAATGAATAATTAAAATTTGTTATTACTTGTTATTAAAGTTTAAATTCTTTGTTCTGTAGTAAAGAATAACATATTCATGACCTCAGGTCTTCTTCAAAGAAACCTTGAGTTGATCAAAAGCACAAAAGAAGGTAACTGTCACTGCAATATTTGTTCACTGTATTTCCACAAAGATGTTCTTAACAAATACACAAGACATAAAAATGACAGCTCTTCTCTATGCTGAGTGATAGGCTAAGTATCTTTATGAAGTTCATAAGTTATTTGTTTGACAGTGTAAATATCCTGTAAGCTTTGTTCTGAGCCTCTGTTCTGACTACTTAATTCCTGAGTGGACTGAATAAAACTTTGAACAGGGAAATTGCACATTTCTAACAGAATAACTCTGCTCCTGGAGAGGCAATGAAGAACCCTCTTGGCGTCTGCAGGTGCAGGATTAAATTTGAAATACCAGAAGACAGGTCTAACACAAAGCAGTAAATATAAGTATAAAGATATAAATACATAAATACAAATATAAACAACATTTTTTTAATATAATGCATTACCTTTTTATTCTGATAGGGTAGCAGGGGTTGGTGTCACTGCAGAGTTGTGTATTTTAGAAAGGATTACAATTTTTCAATATGTAGCAAATAAACAACAATAAATTTTATTTAAATATGCTTTGATGCTTTCAGTTAAAGAGGCAAGTGACATAGCTATGAATTAGATGTCAAGAAAAAGTCTCTGTTTAAATATTTTTTTTCTTTGTATTTTGCAAGGATGCTTGTCACAAAGTCAATTGCGGAATGTCATTAGACCTGCCATTTTACAACCCCCACAAGCCCGGACCTGGCCTGAAAAACCAGTAGTATCGCTAGTAACTAAGAAAGAAGCATGTGTTCAGGTAAAAAGAAAAGTAATTTTGCTGGCTAATACATGTTTGCAGCTCAGATTAAAAACAAAACAAAACAAAACAGTGCTGTTTTAAAAGCAGTTAATTATTCCACTGCATGATTTTCAAGAAAGTTCCTGTTACCAGTTTCGGAGGAACTGATGGATCACTGATATGGTGTGAACTGTTAAACTCATGCTGACTGTGTTTGAAAAAACATCTCTTGTCTGCAGGCTGTCTCAGCTTTCAGATATCAGGGTTCTGTGGGTGTCTCGCACCACTCCAGTGGATGGTCAAGAGAGGCTTTTTGTGATTCCCTGAAAAGGAGCACTGGCTAGGTGGAGTCAGACAATGACTAGAGGAAACAATACAACACAATTTGATTTACCTCAGCAACTGTAAAAACATCACAAATCAACTTCTCCAAGTCAAGCACCAAATCACACATCAATTATCACCAAACGTCGCTTATCAATTAAGCAAACACCAAACAACGCTCAAAGATTATTTGAGGCAAAAATTAAGACAGAATACAGAGTACGGCAGAGTTGAAAAGTAAGAAAGGGGGGGCAGAAAGACAGAGGTAGAAAGACAGAAACACACAAACACAGAGATGCTCCTTGCATGGGGGGGTGATGGGTTGACCAGGTGGTGATGGGTTGTCGGGGAATAAAGTTTGGGCTCACCTTTTATACAGTTCGGTCTGGTCCAGTCCTGGAGCACCCCTGGGGGGGAGGAGGAGCAGCATCCAAGTCACCTTTGGGGTTGACCTTTGAGGGGTGCAACAGCCCTGCATCCAGGTTAGCTTGGGGTGGGGGGCAGCTGGTTCTCCACACAGGAGATGACTCCAGTCCTCAGCGCCCATGCCCCACCTGACAGATGCATCTGTCACTCAAGACATTAAAAACTTGCTAATGTTCCTAGACATGGTGGCACCTCTTCTTTAGAAATGTTTTGTCTGAGTGCTCTGCCCAGGCACTCCTGGTGGAGTCTCTTCTTCAGAAAATGTTATGCCCATTGTTTGAGAAATAAACATGGATCATCCAGGAGGGGATAGGTAGGGGTCTGGTCCCTGACAGTGGGCGAAGCAGCTTTGGGGGTCTTTTGCATTTTTTTTACTTTAAAAGTAAAATGTTAGTGTTTTCATTAAGGGCACTGACTTAGTACATAGCTGGAGGAAGCTCTGCCAGCTACCACAGATATATATACATATGTACCTCAGTGACTCTGGACTTCTAGCAGATCTGTTTGTAGCAGAAAATAAGCTTCATAAGATTCATTAATCTGTTTTTGTTATTCCTAGCTTTTGGAAGACAGCTCTTATTTCTCAGATGAGAATTCAGTAAGTTCCAAAACAGCAGCAAGGTCACCTACTACTATGCCTCTTTCTAGCTCTGAAACAACACGGTAAGTTTTTATTTACTATATTTCTACACCATTTTGTCAATTGGCCTATGCAATGCCCTTTTGTCCTATGTGTCTAACATGGTACTAAGCCAATGATAGCTACACCCATGCAGTGCTCACTGGTGTCTGTGCGGTGCCAGGATTTGTGGGTACTGACATGAGCTCCATATACCATAAGAAATGGACTCCTGCCAGGAATTAATCTCTGCAGGACAGTTTTTTTCTCATTAGCAACCCCCAAGCCAGAAACTATTTTGGTTTGCCATCTCATACATGCAGCTTTGGCAGTTCAAAATATGTCCCAATATGTTTTGAATGTTTGCAGTCATAGAATCATAGAATCACAGAATCATAGAATGGTTTGTGTTGGAAAGGACCTTAAAGATCATCGAGTTCCAACCCCCCTGCCATGGGCAGGGACACCCTCCACTAGACCAGGTTGCTCAAAGCCTCATCTTTGTGTCCCTTTCGAGAACTCTCTTCTGATTGCATAGCCGCTGCATCTCATAAACAGATACAAAGAAACTCCAGAATTACCAAAATATGTCGGCATATTGGACACAGGAGACATGTAGAAAAACATACAGGACTGATTTGGAAGACAAGGTGAATGCTACAGCTGATGTTCTACTTGGGTGCACACGCCAGAATTTCTGTCATTAACAGCTATCAGTGATGATTGTGATAGGGCAGCATCTTTGTGCAGACATGGATTGACCAGCATGGTCTTCAGAATTTCTGCATGAGGAAGCTTATTTCCTTGGACTAAGAGATTGCCCAATGCCCTTGCCACTGTACATGACTGAAAGAGCTCATACTGGTGCAAAAGTGGGCTATTACCTCTCTGGAGACTGGCTCATGAGAATGAAGGGTCTGTGGTTAGCCAGTAAGTTATGTTGAGAGCATTAATGCTGCTTGCTGATGGTCGATAAGGGTTGTTTTCCTGGAAGCTGTGGGCATCAGGAATAAATACACCTGAGATAAGTTATGATGAGAGAATGACATTTCAAAATTGCCAGGGCCCCAGATAACACATTTGTGATGTTGCCTCCTTTCTCTCTGCCACCCAAAGAGGGCAGAGAATGTGTCAGCTGCAAAGGAGTCTATTCCAGTCTTCTTGAGGTCTGGATGGACCACAGATAAAGGTTCTTGCTCACAACATTTGGAATGCACAGTGGCCAGATTCTGAGGAGATGAGGGATTTTTAGATGCACAGACAATTTAGATTCTTAATCCTTATAAACAAGAAGAACATCATTAGAGGGCAGATGCTCACTGTGATTTTGGAAGAGCCAGACTATCCTTTTCTATCACAGTTAATGCTGTGATGAAGTCCTGTGAGGACAACATGGAGCCACACAGCATGCTGGATTTTTAGCAGATTCGGAATAATGGTAATGCACATACTGGAAAACCTAAGAGGAAAACTTTACTGACTTCTAAATGGGTTGGTATTGATATGCCAAGTCTATTTACTTTCTGTCACCTGCACAATATCTAGGAAAAGATAGGTGAGTGGCTTTCTCTTGTGAAGTAGATGGATAGAGAAATACAATGCAATGTTTCTTTGCTGACAAGTTACAAGACTTAAAAGTGCTAGTGGGATTTTTTTCCATTTTTTAAAAGACGAATTGCTAATCTGCTTGGAGTATTTGTGCCTTATTAATTCTGTATATCACAATTGTGGTAAATGTTGGTTTATTGGACAAGGTGAAAACTAATTTAAATACAGCTAGGTGCTTACTGCTCTTCTGAGATTGCAAGAGAGTGTAAGTGCCATTCTTCTGATCCATATTAAGTGACTGATGCATTAAAATATTTAAGTAAAATCTTTTTGGCATAGCTGTTTTCTCATAGACAACTTGACAGCAAGTATTCATAGAAACAACTTTATTAAATTCCATATGCATGCTAAATGACAGTGAACACTGCAGCTAGACCTGCTCATTGCTAAGAAAAGATTTCTTTATATTCATTTTTAATTATCAATCAAGGTGTAACTATTGACATTTATTTACAAAAAATAAAATGAAGAGTGACTCAACAGCAGGGATTGCTGCTGCCTGCAGTCATCCCTGTTACTTCCCCTCTTCTTCTACCTCTGCTTCTTTGTGTGATACGGTTCTGCATAGAGATGAATCACAGAATCATAGGATGGTTTGGGTTGGAAGGGACCTTAGAGATCATCTAGTTCCACCCCCCCTGCCATGGGCAGGGACACCCTCCACTAGACCAGGTTGCTCAAAGCCTCATCCAGCCTGGCCTTGAACACCTCCAGGGATGGGGCATCCACAGCTTCCCTGGGCAACCTGTTCCAGTGCCTCACCACCCTCCCGGTGAAAAATTTCTTACTAATATCTAATCTAAATCTGCCCTCTTCCAGTTTAAATCCATTACACCTTGTCCTCTTGCTACATGCCTTTGTAAAAAGCCCCTCCCAAGCTTTTCTGTAGCTTCAGGTACTGGAAGGCTGTTAGAAGGTCCCCCCGGAGCCTTCTCTTCTCCAGGCTGAACAACCCCAACTCTCTCAGCCTGTCCTTAAAGGGGAGGTGCTCCAGCCCTCTGATCATCTTTGTGGCTTTCCTCTGGACCTGCTCCAACAAGTCCATGTCCTTCTTATGTTGGGGGCCCAGAACTGAACACAGTACTCCAGGTGGGGTGTCATGAGAGCAGGGTAGAGGGGCAGAATCACCTCCCTCAATGTGAACGTGAACATGAAAATGGATATGGTTTGTTAGCCGCCTGCAGTTGCTGCAGCTGTCCATGTCCCAGGAAACCAACAACAATTCAGTTTCCTGAACTGCCTGTAGTAATGAACTGAAAAGGAGAAATTTGCAGTTTCTCAAGTCAGATTGAAAGCTTGGAAAGGAGATTGTGTCATGACAGAAATGCAATGCTGTGAAAACACAGGCTTCTTTCAGCCCAAGTTTTCATAGCATTGCATTTTCAGTCATCTATTCAGCTTTGCACAAGGATTTGATTGTAAAACTGCAGGGGTTCAAGGCCAGCACTGGAACTGGAACTGGCAGCTACTCAGACCTTTCTGGACACTCTGAGAAGGACTGTACCTGGATCTACTCCTTTTCCATAGTCCCTTTACAGTATCTTAGCCACATTTCTCATTTTCCCATTCTTCCTTGTTAGTGGTTGTTCCCTGAATTCAGTGCCTCTGTTTTGCATCTCCATGGCAATGTTATCCCTGGCACACTTTGTTCTTGTCCTGCAGCAATATAGGTTATTGAGTTTTTAATAAGACTTTATAGGCTGGCACTTCCAATTAACTGACTGGAAAAAGGAAGATCCTGCACTGATTATTTCTTCCTTACATTTCTGAATATAACAAAAATCCACTCCCTATGTTATTTCTTTGAGACAAGTTCCTACTGGAGCAGCCTAGAAGTAGCAGATGAAATTTCAGTATGGAAATTGATCACAATTCATTGAATTTTAGTGGAGAGTTTTCTTAAGGATAAGAAATTCATTAGTTTAAACACACTTCAGGTTCCCTGTTTGTGGCCCAAAACCCATATGGAAGGCTTCAAGGCTGAAAAGAGATGGATTTTCTGATTTCTCTTTCTTATTTGCTCTTAGTGACACATCAAGCATGAGAATGTTAAGGAAAATTTTCCTTAAGTGTAAAATGGAGATAGCTTGTGCTTGGGAATTCCTTTATCCTCTGTGAAGAGATTTCAAGCATACTGTAATTATGAACACAGAAACTAAATTTTAGAGACAATCATCAAAGTTCTGGCAACGAAACCAGCTTATTAACAGGAATATCCTCTGCATGACGTATGTGCCGTTGAGCCCTCCCAGGGGTGATAAATGATCTGGAAGAGCAGATAAGGGGTGCTGAAGTATGCAGTTCGTGATAGAACACAGTATCGTCTTCTTACCAAGTCGTCCTTCTGGAACAGAAAGAGACAAGAACTTGGATAGTTTTGCCTTTGCCAGCAAGAGATGCAGAGATTAAGTGCTACAGAAGGAAAGCATGAACAAGCCTTTTGTAAAAAAACCAGCCAAACAAACAAACAAACAAAAAACACACCAAAAAAATAATAAACAAAACACCACCCAGAAAACACAACAGCAGCAGGAACAACTTCCACACAAAGAAGTTCACAAGGACTTTCCTAGTGACTTTTATAAAAAAATTGTCCCGTTAATTTAAAGTGGCTATGCAATTGGCAGGGCAAATCACAACTCTACTTACATTAGAATATTAATGAATGTAATCCACAAGTAATGTACATTTTACAAGTTGTGACCATGTCACTATTTAAAAACACATTCACCTTCTTCTCTTAAAACCTCCTTAAATGTAAGAGGCTAACAGGGTAGTTAAACTCAGGGTGGCAAACCAAAAAAAAAAAAAAAAAAAATCCAGAAAACCTGAGACACTAGGAAGAAAACAGGGACAGAAGAAAAGAAGGACAAGTGTTGTTTTAATGTAGCTTCTGACAAAAACATTCATACTCCAGATCCTAAATGTAAAGTGATTTATCTGGTGTATGAACTTTTCTCTCAGATCTGTATCCCTGAACTCTAGTTGGCCAGTAGCAAAGGATGGCAAGTATTTTGTTTTCTTCACTTCTCATTTTAAGTATATCTATGGAAAAAGTCACTGAAGAATGTAAAGAAGATCTTTCTTTCCTGTTTTAGTTATAGCTCATCATAAGCCATCTGCTATCAAGCCTTTACATTTTTGCAGTATTTATGTGAATTGAAAGTGTATGCATTAGAATACACTGCGCCTGTCTTTCCAAGATGTTAGGTGGATGACCAAGGAGTACAAAGTAAGGCACTGGGGAGAATGTTATTCTGAGGGATGCCAGAACTGCACCAACATGAAGGGGTAATTGTTAATTGTTGGTAGTCTTCTGGTGGAGCAAAAGGAAACAGGGAAACAAAAGTAACTCATTAAAGTTTCTGTAGCAAGACCCTTCTCTGAGGAGGAGGCATGTTGATTTGCTTCTTTGCTTTTAAGAAACATCCTCAATGATCTTCATGAAATACAATGTGATACTCTTTGTTCCTTTTGTGAAATGTTATGTAGAGAGTATTCTCAGATTCCCTTAAATAGTTTGTCTGATTATTTAAGTGGTCATTTTTTGTCTTTAATGTAAGGTGTGGTAAAGTAAATGCATGAATTTACTTATATTCTTTACAAAGTTCTAAATGGTTCTAATTCACATTCTTATGTTATTTTGCTCTCACAGAAGTCAGTTGTTCAAAGACAGAAGTGTACAAAACAGCAGCAATTCTGACTTTGTGTTTGGAGAAAACATGATTGAGAGAGTCTTGGTAAGATCTGTAAATGCTGGCAGACTTTTTATAAAGGTTAATGTACTTATAATTTTTTTCAGAGATTGATTATTTTTAGGTCCTTCTGTTCTTTTAAAGATGTGAGTAAATATGATTCCAATGACTCTTGAGGAGAAAAGATGTAAATATTTGCTGTAGCAGGGGTAGGCATCCCTATCTTCCTCGTTCCAGATAAGTACTCTAGTTACTAATACATACCAGTATGTACTACTACTCTTTTGCTCATTTTTTTGACATGAAAAGGGATTTTTTATAAATTCCACGTAAAAGCAGGACAGCCACAGTACAAGATAGAAGAATGTGGTCCCCACCACCCTGATAGTTTTCATCATAACTGTTAAGAGATGGCAGAAACTAGTATGAGGGGAAAACTGAACACCCATCCAAGATAGTGTCCACGTTAAATGAAGAGGGTCAGAGGGCTGGAGCACCTCCTGTATGAGGACAGGCTGAGAGAGTTGGGGTTGTTCAGTCTGGAGAAAAGAAGGCTCCGAGGAGACCTAATAGCAGCCTTCCAGTACCTGAAGGGGCCTACAGGAGAGATGGGGAGGGGCTCTTTATCAGGGGGGGGTAGTGATAGGACAAGGGGTAGTGGTTGTAAGCTGAAAGATGGCAGATTTAGATTAGATATTAGGAAAATATTTTTTACTGTGAGAGTGGTGAGACACAGGAACAGGTTGCCCAGGGAAGCTGCGGATGCCCCATCCCTGGAGGTGTTCAAGGCCAGGCTGGACGAGGCTTTGAGCAACCTGGTCTAGTGGAAGGTGTCCTTGCCCATGGCAGGGGAGTTGGAACTCAATGATCTCTAAAGTCCTTTCCAACCCAAACGTTTCTATGATTCTGTGATTCTATAGTTGTGCATGCTGGGAGACAGGTTAATGGATTAAGTCCTGAAGGAAACTCAGACAAAAAGGTGGTTCCCAAGCTGAGTACTACACCATTTTAAATGGAATTAAAATTCAGTTTCTAGTAGAAGTAGAAGGAAAACAGTATGTATATCTGCCAATGAAAAAGCTTGTCAACCCTAGGTCTGGGTAAATCTCGGTAAATCTGACCAGGATTTAGTTATAACATAGGAGTTGAGCCACTGAGCATCGTCAGGAGCCAGAAGCATTTATTTAGACATGGCTAAGAAGCTTTATCTGAGAAAACTGAGGGACATGGAAATTTTTAATCCCTCTGAAGTTAAGTTTGTGGTGTCTGGGAATTTTAAACTATTGTTCTCGGGCTTAAGTGCTTAAACTGGAAATTAGCTGGTACCTAAACATCTAAGTCTTTCAGTGGATTTAAAACCTACACACAAACCTACATACAAAAATGCCATTCTTCTTGGTGGACGAATGATGTACTGATTTTTTAATAATAAAATTACACTAGAGACTGAAATTGTGTCATCAGGGTCAGTTGTTACTCTTAAGATATTACAATTGCTAATCTTCAGCCTACCATGCATTAACTGATTCAGTGTACTGTCTGATGCGAAGTAACATAGCCATTTTACTTAAATAGGAACTTTTGTTTGCTCTGTTTTTTTCTAGAGTCCTGAGAGGCATCCTAAGCCGTGTAATGCAGCTGATTCATACAAAGGAGAAATAACATCCATTTACATAGAATCTTTTCCTGTCAGTCCACAAATAAGTAAGCATACTCAGCAAACAAGTACAGTTAGCTTATTATTATGTGTTTGGCTGTATCGTAGAGGATGTCAAGTGAGTGGTGGTCAATAATTTTCATCTGTTCTCAAGTTATCCAGTCACTAGTACACTTGCAGTATGTGCAAAAATTATGTTCAGAAAGCAGCTACAGTTTGGTTTATGACATTTAAACTGGACTAACATCAGAGTGAATGATCTAAGTTACTCAAGCAAGGATAGAGTTTTACAGATTATTATTTATTACAGATTATTATTAATATTAATTATTATTATTTAAAAATGCAATGAAGTTTGTGAATGCCATTTGGACTGCATTTTTAAACTACAATTTTAAGCTGTTGGCTGCTTGTATTTTGTGTCTGCTGATATAAATTACTTTGCCATATTTGTATTCTAATTGTAGGATTGAAACTTCTATACAGACAGATTTAAGGGGTTGTTTGTGACTCTGGTGTGAGCTTTTCTACTAGGCAAGCCACATAAACTTAGGCTGTGAAGAAATCCCAAGTGGGGCCCTACCTTGAGCCCTCTTGCCAAATTTAGCACCCCTCCTTACTAATGGATGTATTGGATCCTCTTAGTTGGTATGAATATTCTTACAAGTAAAAAAAAAATTTAAGCCTATGGAAAATGTATATATATTATGCAAATATACAAAATTTTGTAACAGTGTTGTCCCTTTCAAATCTTGTCCTTTTGTGTTCCTGTCAAATATTCATTGTGTATGTGTTACTATTCTGAATACTAGGACATGTACATAGAAATATGACAGACAGTTTCATTTGGAAGATCAACTTCTAATTATTTAAGTCTTGTTTCTGCAAGTTCTCCCGTGGGGCAAACCTCTGCAACTGCAGGGAGCCCTTTTTAATTCAAAATCAGCCTAGACAGGCGAGAGATTTTGCAGTATGCCAGCCTTTTTCTCTTCTATTTACTGCTTTTGCTAAAAACTTATTAATAACGCTACATTATATCAGACACTACAGGGATAATTGAAGTCACACACCATCCTATGTGCTAGTTTTGTTGTCCTGAAAATATTCCCTGTATGGAAAGGATTTATTTTTTTGTTTGTTTGGTTGTTTCTTTTTCCTACGTAAACAGATTTGTTGAGGAATGCAACACTAATTGAATCAGCAGCTGCCTGTATTTCCAAGCGAGTGGAGAAAATTCCGTTAGATAAAGTTGAAGTTATAACTGGAGAAGAAGCAGAACACAATGTACTACAGGTGTGTATTTCATAAAGCCTTGATGGTGAACAGTCTTATTGTTGAAAAGAGATCTATTACAGATTGCAGCAATCTAAAAATAACTTCAGTTTATATTTTAAATTTTCACTTTTTTAAGATATTCCTCTGCTAACCCATTTTTATGCAGGCTGATATTTTCCTTTTCATATTATATTTGTTCATTTTGTAGTCCCTTTCAATAAGTGACTGCTTCAGAACTTAATTCTAGAGTTGTATTTTGTAAGCATCTACACAGTGTACCAGTAGTAACTAAACTTCAAAATTGGAAGTGATTTGAGTAAAGGGGTTTTTTATGACAAAACTTTTTTGGGGATAAAAAGCAATATGTTATCAAAGTAATTAGTTTTATAGTTCATCTAAAATATCAATTATCGTTCTGGCCCAGCAGGATGTATCTTGCTATTCTTCATCTTCAAACTGTTATTTTCTCAGAAAATAGCAATGGTGTATATGATTTTACAAATCTTAACATTGAAAGTTACATTATTTTATCATTTATTAAATCTTCTGTCTTGTCAAAACATGGAAGTTTTACTCTCTCTGGAGTATACTCTCCTAGTAGGGGTATTGGTATCCTGGGCTGCATAATGTTTCTAAAGAATGAGACTCTAGAACACCTGTAACAAATTCAGCTATGTTAGTGGATATCACAGATGAAGAGTTAATGAAGATGAAATAATTGAAAAAGTAAACTGAGATTCATGATGAATGTTTTCCATAACTAGCAGAAAGTTTAGCACGGATCTGTGAGCCATTTCATCTTAAGTAATAATGGCAATATATTTATATATCAATCTTTGTATACATGCATATGGATGTATGAAAAGGTTGAAAAACATAAAGATTTTTCACAAATAAAGTTGACATTGGCTGACAATTTCCATCATGTATTTCTCTTTCAGATCAACTGTAAGCTCTTTGTATTTGATAAGGTTTCTTTAACCTGGACTGAAAGAGGCAGAGGATCCCTGAGGCTTAATGACACTTCTAGCAATAAATGTGGAATGTTGCAGTCAAGGCTAAGTAAGAGTTGAATAATGAAGTTACACATACATAAAACACTAAATAACTTGTACTATTGCTGGCCAGACTAAGTTTATTCCAAAACATTTAAGTAGCTGGTTTTATTTAAGTCAAGTTGCTGAGAATCTTTCTAACATTGCCTGCGATAAAGTTACCTGCATTAACAGACTGAGGCACTGGGCATTTTTCACTCAGTTTTTACATTCACACTTGCATATGCTCTTAGGTTCTGTGTGTTTCTACTGCAATGTATCTTTAGCTTAGTCATCAGTCTGACAGTTTGCTCTTTGTTGATTCTGCTTTTCCAGGAGCACTGTTTCAAGTCACTTCTGGAATGTTGTTTTTACTGTGCTGTCATTTTTTATACTGTATTGCAGTTTCAGAAGATTATTTGCTTTGTATGCCAGATGTATTGAAATAAATGAATATATTTGGTATTAAAAAATAATTTTTAAAATGTCATCGTGTCAGGTTTTAGACCAAATTTAAAAGAGTAATTAATTCAAATAATAATTGTATAAAAGTGGGAGAGAAAACTGCTGCAGTAAAAATGAAGATGGTTCCAATGGCTTATCATATAAACCTTCTTATTTTAGTTATGCGTAATCAAGGCAGCTTGAGACTAATTCTCAACACCCGAGTCTGGGATCAAATGGTTATAAAAAAAGCAAACAGAAAGAGCCTATGCTTCACTGCAACCGACCAAGAGGACCACTCTGTTCAAGTATTTCTAATTCAGGTAAGCAGAATAAAACCCCACCCAAATCCCCATTGCATCTAGGATCCTGAAGACTTGCTGAGGCTTTTGTTTTAGCAAATGGCCTTTTATGCTCTGTCAGTCTATGCTTAGCTTAGCTGTTACATGGCTTTTATTACGACAAGAGTTAGAAGTGCTCTCCCTTGGTATTTCAAAAAAAAGGTATGAAGATGGAACATCATTTTAGGATGGACATTTCCAGACTCTGTTTCACATACCACTGATGGAATGGATATCATTCCAGAGTCATATGCAGCAATTACTCTTTCTTACGGAAACAACACTATAAGAATTTCTACACAGGTCGTTAGATATTCAGAAGTTACTTTGGCACAAGGCAGCAGCTTTCTGCCATGCTTATTGACACAGTGCTTGCATTAATCCATCCAGTGTAGGACCTCCACTTCTCAGTTGAGGAGAACACAGATTTTGCAGTGTCACCTTATGTAAGACAACAGTCTTGGGAATCCTGGTTTTCTCTAGCAAGGGCTGATAACTTGAGGATGGAAATGTGGTGGACTTATTTGCAAATAAATAGCACATGTATACCAGGTTGGGAAGTGAGAGCATCCACATGAGTTTAAGGATGTCTCAGGCTTCCCCAGTAGACCTCTCTGGGGAGGGCTCAGCCTCCTGGGAAAGAAAAATAAATCACTGCTTTCAGGAATTGTCACATAGCATACACAAGCAAAGCACCATGCACAGTATATGCAAGCACTATCATGTCCAAACAGTGATTGACTTAACTATAGCTGTGCTGCACAGCTGGTCTGCATGTAAGGATTAGAAACGTCCTAGTTTCCAGATGTGCTGCAGTTTTTCTAGCATATATAGATGTCAACATTCCTTAATTCTCTCCTGGCACTTCTGGATAGTAAAAGAAGACATGTATTAGGAAACCAAGATACATGACAGCTGTTATGTGTGTGGCATGGGTTGCAGGAAGCTGCTTAGCTGTTTCTACAGTTGTCACTGAAGCAGCTTGTATCCATCCTTATAGCTGGTATCCAGCCAAACTAACACTGAGAGTCGAGCATGGAAGGCAAATTGGTCACTGCATGAGACACTCAGCAGGTATCACCAAAGCCTTGGCATGTAAATCAGGCTTGCAGTAGTCAGTGGAGCCCACTCCTCCAAAGCACCAGCAGATATTTTAAATTGCCATTTAAATTTGTTTTTCCCATATCACATGAATGATTGATACATTTGGTTCAGGGATGTTATCCAAAGGGTCTCTCATGAGTGAAGGAGAAGAATCATATGATGCTGACTACAAAGGAGGCAGTCCACAGGACTCCATTAGGTTGGTCCTGTAGTACTCAGCCAGGTTTGCACACAGGGTTGACCCTGCCCCTTTCCCTCATGGTTGTTTCTTCCTCCTCACTTTTGGTGACATTGGAATTTGTACAGTTATGAGTGAGGCAGATCAGAGAACTGATCTGGGTGATTTTATTCATTTTTGCTAAGTTAGTTTTTTAGATTTATTTTATTCACTTGTGATAGCCCTAGTGGTGGCACTGGCACAATGGAGAGGGTAGAAATGAAGAGTCAGAGGAGTATGGAGGTGAGTCCACCCTCTTGGCAGAAGCTGGAGTTCATATTAGATTAAAATGACAGAGGACCTCTGGCTTTTGAATGAGTAAGTAGAAAGCTACAGATAGAAATTATCAGACTGAATATCTACCTTTTTCATATTTGTGACCCTATGTTTCCTGAAAAGCCATGTTAACTTGAGAGCTCACATTTGTCCACTAAGAACTGCACGTGTAGTTTAGACACCTGAACAACTCTAAATTGCTTCCTTCTTTGCCTCACTGTAGGGAGAGAATTGTTTGCTACTGCAAATCTGAGTAGCACAGAAGGCAACCCTGGTCTGCTGCTGCTTCCCAATTTGTATAGCTTTTCCACATGTACACACTGAAACATGTCATTCCAATCCAAACAAGACTAATTTCTTCCTGTTTCCAAGTGATACAGATAGAAATTACTCCACATGATGAGCAGAAGTTGAGAACCGGGCTACAGAGGACCATACGCATTCAGTTACTCTCTGGTAGATTAATTTCTTCCTAAGAACATAAGAAGTACTCTACTGGCACTTCTGACAGTGCCCAAATGCAGTGCATTTAGGAAGCACAAGCGAGCATGGCCACTTTGTATGGCCTGTTTACCTCATTGTCCCCCAGCATCCATAACTGTTTTATTAGGCATGTGAGAGCATGTACCCCTACTTGTTTCCTTTGCTACCTATTTTATTAAATTTTTGTTCCTGAATTTTTCTAATTCCTTTTTTTAAACTTTTATTACTATATTTTTTAGTTTATACTGTCTGTCCCTGCTGCCTTCTGAAGCAGCAAATTCTAGAAATTCTTACTCTGTGAAGAAGCACTTTATTTTGTGCTGATCCTCTATTGCTTTAATTAAGCATACACTAGTACATTTATTGCGTGGTCTGATGAACAGCTATAACATATTCAGTTTATCCACCAGTTTTATAATTTTGAAAACCTTAGTTATACCCCCTTCTCATCCTTCTCTTCAGACTGAAGAGTCTCAACTCTTCATAAGGAGCAGCACCACACCCTTGATCCTTTTTGGTGCCCTTCTCTTTACCTTCTTTAATTCTACTACATCCTTGAGATGTGATGGCCAGAACAGAACACAGTACTCAGGACATGGCTGTTCAAAGGTTTTATGTACTGGCAAAATGCTGCCTTGTCTAGTTTGCAATACCCTTCTTGATGATGCTCATCTTCTGTTGAACAACAATAGCCGAATTCATGGTAGCTTTAAATGTTATAATCACAATTAATTTTTGTAATCAGGTTTTAAAATTATTATTTATTCTGTAAACCAAAATGCAATACAAATATTAACATTTCAGTGCTTTATTAATTATAGAATCATATTCAGGAATTGTCTGGAATATCAAGTAGTCAGTACAAATGGAGCCATTCTTCAGGGGAAATATTAATTTTTAAGCTTATGTTTCTTGTAACTATAGAGAAAATAATCAACGGCTATGTATTATAAAACTCAGACCACTTAAACTTTACATTATCTGTATTTAAATTTATTTTTGCATGTGAATTATTAAATGTGAATCTTAACTGGATTGTTTTGATTGAAAAGGACAAAGTACAGCTCTTTCACTACTTTTGAAAACTTCTCAGTCAGCTTCTCTGTGAAAAATAGAGATTTTTCTCAGCTAGTTGGACTGTATGCAGTTTATGTTCTGCAGGCAAGCTCAAAAGACACTGGATACCTCTATGCAGCAATACATCACCGCCTTGTGGCATTGCGAAGCTTTGCTGAGCAAGAGCCAGATGCTAATCAAGCAGGCACAGAGTCAGAAATAGCTTTGGAACCATTAAACTGTGATAGCGATGATGAAGATGATGGAAAAATCAAGTGAGCAGCACTGGATCTGGTAAGCAGAAGTTTTCCGGAGAATGCTGTAATTCTTTCAGGGTATTTTCTTGAAAGCAATGAATTGCACTTTTTTTTTTTTTTTTTTTCCCCATGCTGACTATAACTTCAATCTGTTAGAGAGACCCCTTTTCAGGTAGAAGAGGGTAATTCCTTGTAGCATTTTGTCTTACTACTGTTAAAATGCAAGGTTTTGCCAGATGAAGTATCTAGACATCTTTATAGCAGTAAAATACTCTTTTGACAAAAGGCTGAGGGTTAAGAAATCTCAATATTGTCAAGCTTTACCTAAAGGTTTTTTTCAGTACATTTAAGTAGAAATGACTAGAGGTATTGAGATACTAGTTGTTACTTGAGTAAGTGAAAGTTGAGTCCATTCAGATCAGTGCTTAGGTAGTTGTGAAGAGCTTGTGAATATGTTTACTAAGATATTTATTACACAGTGGTTAATTTCATTTAAAACACTGATCCTTGATCATCTGTAACAGCTACCTCATTAAGAAATTTGCAGATCAAGATTTATACACCAGTTTTGCAAGCTTTCTTCAACATAACAAAAATGTAGGCACCACAAAGTGAAGCATGCAACTAAAACAGGATATATGGGGGAAGCTGCTGACTTAATCCTAGTGCAGAAGCTGTTAATACAGCTCACAACAAGGCTGGGGTCACATTTGCAGAAAGGAAGGCAGAAGCAGCTGTCGGACTTAAAAGCTCTGCTATCTTAGCAAAAGTCAAGTCATATTGCTGAAGTGAATTCACTTGCTTGTGCCAAACTGCTACAGTGGATACAGGAGCTGCCAATTATGTTCAGTTTTCTAATAGAAGGACTACAGCAGGCATGTTGGAGTTCTTGATTATAGCATTAGTTTCAGCCTTCAACTGAGTAACATACAGTCCTTATATTATAAACTCTTCCTTTCAACAGCTATTCAACAAGAATCACGTCATGTACGATTAACACCTATGAGTGACTGTTTGCTTAAAGAAACAAGTTTTTTTTCCCCTTTAGGCAAACAGATTGCAGTATACAGCGCTTGTTCCCATTATTAATTGTTCTTTAACTACATTTCAGTAGCATTCAGTGCTCTAAACAAAGCATGATGGTTTTATACAACATTTCCTCACAAATGTATTTTTTTTCTATTTAGGAAGTGGGAAAAAAGTTAGCTCTGAGAACTCCCTGGATTGCTCCCTGATAATCAGACATTCCCTCTGTAATTCCTAAATAGTCTCTGTTGACTTTACAAAGAGTTTCTGGTAACTTGAAAACTCTGGATGGAGCTTGATTCCTTTCCAGGATTATTAATGATAAAAACTCTGTTCTCTTAGGGAAAAGAAAAAAGAGGGGAACGGGAATGTCAAAGCAGTGTAGGAGCACAGATTTACAAGTTAAATATTTATTTTGATTTGCAGAGACTTCACATACAAATATTCAGATGGCTGTCAGCAAACAGATTCTGAGATACGAGTGTCAGGTGCTGTTTTTTCTTTGCCTTTTAATTCAAGCATCTGTCTTTCATTTATGTCCAGCTACTGACAGCAGTTCTAGCAATCCCTTTCAAGTGCTTTTTTGATGACTTCTAGCATTTCCTGCTTATCTTATTCTCTTCAATTATTCTCAGAGCCATGAGGTTTTAATTTTGCAAAGATTTCAATTAGTGGTATCTAAGTCTCACTTAACATGCAGACACACCTTACACATGCCTGCACCATGATCACCCATTTCCATAACAGGACGAAAAATGCACCTCATGGGTTTTGAACAGGGTAATGTTAGTTTTAAATATCAGCATAGAAACGTCCATTTGGATGCAAGAGATCAGATCCTGCATATTTAAGAGCATTTGTTTAAAGCTTTCATTTTCATACTTTCATTTTCATTGAAGGATGTGCATGAGCAAGTCGTCTAATTTTTATTGATGTAACTCCATTTCAGAGATTATCTCTTCTTCAGACTACTGTAAATGTTCTTTCTTTTCCTAATACAGGCAATTTTCTTCTTGTTAAACAGAATTAACACTGTTCCTTAGATTATGTTATATATTTCATGACACTGTAAAAAACATTAAAAAAAAGATGAGAATTATCTTTAGTGTTAGAGACTGAAGAAGAAAGCAAATATGATATACGTAAAAATTGAAACATTATGAACATTAAAGAGATTCTATATGTTTGCAAGACATTTTTGTTAAGGATTTTTTACATGGAATTCTTATACACTATAACATCCACAGGACGTTAGTGATGTGTAAGGCCAGTGCATAACGTAGTAGAGATATTTCTACCATTTTACAACTTTAGTACAAACAATTATTCCAACATTTTTTTATTTTTTAATTGACTTGCTTTATGTTCAAGTAGATATATTAATTTCATAAGGTCCATAAAGAATAAGTTGCTGTACCTGATATTTTTATCAGATCATATTTCACCAGTTACAACTTGGATATTTTTACCAATAGGTTGAGCTGTAGATCTAAGTGGAGGGAAACAGAAGAATCCATCTTTAAATGAATTTTGAGAGTGGATGGGATCAATAACTCTCTGAGAAGCACTTCTCTTTTCCCACTGACTACAAAATGAACTGAGGAGATGAATTTATACTAGACAGCAAACTTCTAGGCTGACCAAAGTCAAGCAGTTTTCTTTTTCCATTACTTTCATTGACAATTCATTTATCTGCTAAGTATCTGCTGTGTCCCACAGCATTCTCCTAGAAAA